TATAAAAAATCTGTATCTATACATTAAAATATTTTATTTTTGAAACTTAAAACACCAAATTTGATTTTGGAAATTGAATTTTCAAATGTAGGACTCCATGTAATTTCCACATTTAAGAATGGCAAAGGCCAGATACCTAAAAAGGATCGTGATTGAACAAACTATTTGAAGCATAATTATTAAATTGGATCGGATTGTTCGTTACACCGACAAATCGAACATTGATCCGGTCTGGGTCAAGTTGATGGACTGTGTTAACAAAATTTTAAACTGCAAGATTTATATTGAAAATCGATTCACCAAGCAAACTATTTGAAGCATATTTATTAAATCCGGACTAATGTGACAATTGAACAGGTTAATCGATCAAAACTTGCCTGATTAGGGCAAGTTTCCAAAGAAATCGGACTGGTTCAATGTACTATTGATGTGAGTATGAAAGCGCTTCAGCGAGCGAGATTTAAGGCTTATATCTTGTCAATTTGAATAAAATTAAAATGATAATACGTAATTATTACTTTTATTGAGGCTGCTTATATCTAACAAATGAATTAGATGTAATAATATGTTTTTTATTTTGGAGAAAAGACAAACAATAAAAAAAGAAAAGAAATACATTTTTGATCCTTCACATTCCATATTCATTGCTGTTGTTTTATTACATTCCAAAGAAGTTTTGACGCTTTAAATTATTATTCTTATATACACACACTATTCATTGCTAGTCAGTATATTTATACATAATTATCGAACTTCACGATATCTAGCTAGTAGTGCATTTCTCGTATAGTTGAAAACTAGTTCAATTTTACAAATTATGAAGAGGACAAAAATACTGAATATAGACTTGACTGTTGACGTGGTCGATGTGGTATGAGGTGGAGCAAGAGTCGATAATCATATGAAAATTCAGTCCTTGTTTGATTTTCATTTTTTTAAAAATATATTTTTCTCTCTTCTTTTCAATCACATTTTTCAATAAAATATTATTACACATAAATTTAAAATTTTTCCTTATAATTTAAATACATATTCTTCATCAATCATAATAACTACCACTCATACCACCATGATCACATATGGCTTCCGTCTCACCTGCATCACCGTCATGTCATTCCGACCAATATCACCAACGATATCGTCGTTCATAATTCTACCCAAATCTATAACATATATTATTTCAATATGAATCAAGAATATACATGCCTTCGACAATCACAATAGGCTTTTTGTCGGCCACTAAAGCATATTATGCTATTCCAACAATATCAACGATGACATTATTGTTGGTCATTGCCGACGAAGGTGGTGTATGTGATCCCGACTATATAGCACTCAGAAATTATATATGAATTATTGATTTCAATTAGAATCACCAATTGGGATTTCGTCTGTTAGAATTTTCGTCAATGATTATTTGTTCTATAAATTTTTGTATTATTTTTCTAAAAAGACCTCTTGATGATTGTTGGCAAACAATTGTCAACAACCAAGGAAAATAGTGAAATACATATCTGTGAAGTTAATATTACAATTTGGTGAAAAAGATAAAATAGCATTGAATAGTTGAAAAAATGGAAATTGGTGGAGACCTAGTTAAAGAAATTAACTATAATTCCATGCAAAATAAGATTATTACGGATTTACGCAGTTGCAATTCACTCGAATTTCACCATCATCGTCATCGTAGTCTTGAATGTTTCCAAGCTTCACCATGGACGTAGCAAATTGATGATGGAAGACTGAA